TTTACCATCAGCAGAATTGTTCGCCGATTTCTTCGCGCATGGTGAAGTTCACAACCAGGGTAAATGCCGTACCATTACCCCATTTTGCAAAGGTCGCGCGCGTAAAGACTGTCCAAGACCGACCAATTGGTCGGGTTATTAATAACCCTCTTTTTTACGATCTCCATAGTTATGGAATCGATTATCACATTGAGGCTCAGCAGCTGCTTTCCGATTGCCAACACAGCTTCCGTCGGCAACGGTCATGCCTGAATAACCTGTTACTCACCCGGGATAGCTGGACAACTGCTGCTGACACCGGTCTAGAAACGCACCTTATCTCCTTGGATTTCGCCAAAACTTTTGACAAAGTCGTTCGCACCATCCTAAAGCACAGGCTGCTGTCTGAAGCCTCGATAGACGGGATCCGGAACTACCTCCACCATCGTACCGTCCGCGGATGCGTCGACAGAGCGCTGTCCCTCCGTATCTTTGTTCTCGGACCGGACATCTTATCATTCATTGACAATGTCACAACACAAGTCGAGTCCTCGCTGCTGATAAATGCCTACGACGCCAAACTAGGGCACAGAATTGATGGCCCGGAGGATACCCGCGCACTTCAAAGGGACCTCAACCGTTGGCACCAGTGCTCCCATGGAAATCAACCTCCCGTTTAACGCTTCGAAATGTCGCGTATTTCCGCGCCTTTCTGCTTCACAAATATACTTCCTCTCCCTTCACTGAGTTCATTCATTGCGTTGTAGAGAGCAGAAGGGAGGACCCATGTTAGCCCCATCACTTCCAGTTCCGCACTAAGAGCACATATGTTAACGCGACCCGGTATTCCTCGGAACTTGAGCAGTCGCGGTTGGACTACGCAGCCTTCATGTCTTGCGTAGATGAGTATCTAAGAGTCGTTTGAAACTTTCCTCGGTCGTCGCATCAACAACAGTCACCGGTAGACGATTCCAGCCATTCACTACCCCAGCTTCCCCTCTTAGTATGAGTCTCTTAAAGATGTAGTCTCCTCGACAGCGACGGTGTTACATGGTGAACAGATTCCGCTCTTGAAGCCGGAGGGAGTATGGAAAATCACGAAGACCGGAAACGGACTTGGAGCCACGCCTCTAGACCTTTTCGAGTAAAGCACATTAAACAGAGTCTGGGAATGTAGCTGGTGGCCCATGCTCTATAGTGGGTCGTACATAGGAGGTAAGTAGGAGCCTGAAGATCTTCGGTGTCATTCAAGCGTAGGATCTTCTTAGGGCACACCACATCCTGTTTACAGCGGCAACCTTTTTTAGTGTATCCTGTGTGGTTTTTAAATCAGGCTTTTATTACGCCTAAATCTTTCTCCTGAGCGCGTGTTCGAGAAGGAACCCACCAATGGTAAGTTCCAAGTGCCTCGGTAGCCCCGATCGATAGGGCGCAGCATTTTTCGTAGTTTATTGGTAGGCCCCACTTGATGGGTCAGTTATGCAACAGATCAAGGGTCACACGTAGTCGATCAGGCACTTCAGACCACAGCTTAAGCTCATCGGCATAGATAGAGCATTCGGTTTGGTGTGTTGCATAAAGATTATTGATATACAGCTTGAACATTTCAAGTCGAAGGAAGGATTCCCATGGAATACCGCTTGTCATAAACACTGGCTTGGGAAGCGTCTCGTTTACTCACATTTGCATGCTCTGTCCTTCCAAAAAGTCGGCAATCCACGAGTGAAAGCTGCCATTAATACCGATTTCCATAAGCTTCCAAAGTAGTCGCTGGTATGAGTCTTTGTCGAACGCTTTGCTAACATCGATGAAAACCACATATATGCGTTGTGCGGCGTCAATTCACCTCGCCTACTTTTCTCTTGCTACTTGCAGGTTGGTAGAGCAGGACAGTCTCTTCTGGAAATCACGCTGGGTAGAGGTGATGTTATTTTCGTCGCAGTGTTTCTGTAGAGCGCATCTGGGGATTTTTTCCACGACTTTACAGACAATTGATGTCAAGCAGCTGGGACGATAGTTCACAGGGTCTTGGCGATTTCCTCCTTTGTACTTAGGCATTACGATCCCAGTTTTCCAGTCGATGGATAAACGACCAGCCTTCAATAACAGCTGAAAGACATTGCAGATGGGTGTGGCAACACGTTCAGCCATAGTTTCGGTAGTCGACGGTCATTCCCTTCTGCAATGGTGAAACATCTTGGAGTATTACACCGGTGGAATTTGAATTTGTCTGATAATGCGCACAAAGTCCACTGTTCCAGCCTCCTCATGCTCTGGTTACCGGATCGGACATTCTAGGTTTCGTCTGAGGAAATTATCGGGCTTTACGTCGCCATGGTTCGTCCGCTGTTAGAATACAATGCAGCGGCTTACTATCCCAGCACAAAAGGCGAATGGCAACAACTGGAGAAGGTATTGGACCTAGCCAATCGCTTGATTTCTGCTCATTGTAGCGTATCCTATCAACAAAGGTAAAAAATGTTGCGACTTCACACTTTAATATACAGCGGACTAAGAATTGATCTCGTTACAACTTTCTGAATCCTTCATATGGGGTGTATGACTGCATTATTATTGCCTCGGTCACCCGAGCGCGTACCTATGAACTTTAAATTCAACTAATGGGCCATGTTTCTCATATGCATTGTTTTGCTCGTCTCGTGATACATTTTTTGGACTGGTTGCCCATTCCTATTGTTTTTGCATATTCTGCACAGTATTTGAACCAACGAACTGACAAACATTTTGCAAAATTGTTTCGATGCGGATGCCATATTCGATCTCTTCTCGTGGGTGTGTTACGGCTGCACAACCAGCTTTAGAGAGCCGAGACAGCTAACTTCGTGATGTTTTTGGCTTTAAATCCGTATTTTGTGTTACTAAATGACCGAATTTTCGACTTTACGCAGACCAGCGTTCTGCATCTGTCGTTTTTGTTGCCATATTTATGGTGGAGATAGATTACAATCGTATCTCCTACTGCAATGCTTTTAGTTCATGTTTAGGTGGAACGAATCCTTGAGCCAGGTATTGACATGATGCTCTGAGGTCTAACACGAAACATCAGAACCACACCCTGGTCAGCCATTTACTGCCCACCTTTCCTGCAATGGCATCCCTTGCTGTGCAATTCACGTGAAGTTAGCGAGTGCTATGAAGAGGGTGGAAGACATAATGGTCATTTGAATGATGGATATTACCAAAGAGTGAAGGAAAGTACAGGAAATACAATCCGTGTAGAAAGCTGGGCATGGTCAGGAAAAGGAAATAGTTTTCTGTCGATACCCTAGTGTCCGACTGACGCACGAAACCCTTAACCGTAGGTTCCCTGACCACATTTCCTAGAAACGAGTTCCAGCGCTTAATACCGACATGGTAACCGAGTTTCCGCCTTAATGCGGTCATCGTGGCATGTGTTGCTTCGTAGCATGGTCGCAAAGACCAGACAACCTGGCCGGATTAGATGACCTTGACAATTCAGACCCAACCCTCCCATCTAAAATACAGTAAGTGTGGATCAGGTTTTCTTAAACTGAGGTAGTGCATTGAATGCCTACCCAAACTAACTAAACGCTCATGGTACGTCTATCCCCGTAACCTATCAACCAACCTAGTACCCACTCGCAAAACTCTAGAAGTCTATTTTATTTTAGGACAAAGCAGAGCGGGCAAGCCTGGACGCAATATTTTACATGGAGCCGAAAAAACGGCGTATTACCAACATATGGTATCCCCTACTTGTAGCCTTCTTCCAGTTGTCGCCCGAGTTTAAAATCGCCGAGTGGACGACGCCTAGGTCGGCCTGATTAGAGACAAGGGGGAGTTCGACCCCATTGAGCACGTACCCCGAAGATGAGCAAGCTGCTGCAATACAAAAACATTAGGCTTTCCATGATTTATGGGCAGTAGCCACAATGTTAACCAGTCCCATAACCTATTTAGGGCATGTTGAGTAGCCTCAGAACTCCCGGGGGCATCTACACTGTTCCACAGCTCCAGTTCATCAGCGAATAATAGCAGTGATACCCCACGTTCTCCAGGGAGATCGTTTACATGAATAGAGAACGGCAGCTGTCCAAGGACTGAGCCTTGTGGGATCCCGCGGAAATCAGCTTGCTTATATGTGAAACTGCGACTCACGCGTACTCAGTGCCCTTCCCTCCAAGAATATAAGCACTAATTGAAGGGCACGACCAGGTACACCGTAAGAGCTCAGTTCATGCGATAGCCCCGAGCACAGCACCGTGTCAATGCTTTCGAAAAATCCAAGAATAGCGTGTTGTTCCGGCTACTTTGAAGTAGCGGAGATCAATTGACCTTTCCTTTTGTACCTTAGATGAGAAGTATGCCTACACTTTTTCCAAACACATTTTTGATGTTGCCACAACATTGACTTATGAACCGATCCACTTAACTAGTCTCGTTCCATCCTTAAACACGGCACGTGTTGGGGCTACTTGTGTTATCATTTTGGCTGTCCGCAGTACTACTTATGGAATAAGGCCGTGTTGCAGGGCCGTAACTGTTCAAACGGAGTCTCCCATTAACCCAAAGTACTTGGTTTCATTCACTAGCCTAATTTATATTCTCAAAACTCCAAGTTTCACTTTGTCCCGGATAGGATATGGTGAACAACCCTAAACACGTTGTTCTGAGTGGAGTCGCACCCAAGCGTTACATTGAACACCGAAGATGAGGCTAGTTTTGTGATTTTCACTTTTTGGGTCACCGATTTCTGTGTTCTACGTCTAGTGATAGGTGGAAGTGACATAGCTGGAAAATGTGAACTGGGATGCTATATGGCTGTACCTAAGAAATCTACGTAGCTCATCACATGTGCGTAACGACAGTGAGTGCAGCGTACTTGAGTATGCACACTTTACTGCCGCATATATACTTCGTATTATTTCACCATTTGTTGTTCGAAGAGCCACGCTTTCAACTCATTATTTGCCATCATGGCTGTTTGTTTCCACGACCTAATTTCTACTTTGTTCATTCGTTTGCTTGCTTTGCTCCAGATGTGGTTACCGCTCGGAATTCTCCTCTCTCTTTTCTATGTGAATGGTAAGTATATCCATAACGTTTCCTACCCGGTTTGACTTCTTTCATGTCATGGTTGTATGCTTTACATGACTAGCTATCTCTTGATGGTTGTACTATTAAACCCTTTGTATTAATATTAAAATCAAGCTGTCATCCAACTCATTGACCTTGCCCACCCTATGTAGTTTACTTATTACCATTTTCTGGACTCTGCTATCCACATTTGTCGGACGATACAGCTTACATCCGTCACAACGAGACTGGACTTTAACGTGGTGCAACGGTTTGCCTACCTCGACCCATTGAGCTGCACTGGTGGTGCACCCGGGCCTCTTGAGAGTTCCTCCTACCAGGTTGGTCAGTAGTTTGAGGTCGGACAAACTTTCTCTTGGTCCTCCAATTTGGGGCTTTGAAATGGGATGGCATCCATTTCTGTAAATTCAAATCGCTCCTACGTGCACTACCTTGCGGATAGGCTTTTGAACCATCGACTTTCATTGAGGACCCTAAACGTCTTCCTGTCTAGGGCTGCGCTCCATGGCAGCATCTCAGCCCACGTACGACCATGATTATTTCTTCAAAATTCAGCCACATACTGCATCCATCGTCGCGCAGATTTCAAGAGTCGCCTTATCCGCTGCATACAGCAACTTGGATAAGTAAAAACAGGCTACTGCTGGTAGCTTTCTTCTTCATCTGTTTCTCTTTGCCCCAATCCAACCTACATTACTAACCTGTACTTCTATAACTCCCAATTTAATTGACAGCATCCATAATGCAACTGGGGTCGAAACATCTGAAGCTATCTTCCCGTAACACTCGATAGACGCCAATGGCCAACAGCTCCTTATAAGATCACGCTGTCATGTTTCCCTGGCAGCGTTCAACGTTCGCACTCTAATACAAATAGGTCAACAGGCTGCACTCGCATGTACGTTCGATACAATAGGTATTGACGTGTGTAGTGTTACCGAAACTAGGAGCACTGGCTATCACGGCGTTGTTGAATTAACTGCCGAAATGACCAGTAATCACAAACAGAAACGGTTTGAGGCTGCCAACTCGAAAACCTTGGGTTTTCAAGTCCGCCCCCTTCCTACCCACTTGATCTGGCTACATCGGACTATTGTCTCTTCCTGGACTTAAAAAAATTTGGTAGGGGTGACGTTTGAAGGCACTTTTGCCGTCAAACATGTTGCTGATAGTTGGTTTGGGGCACAACCAAATGACTTTTACTTGACTGGTCTGGAAAAACTGCAAACATGCTATGCCAGTTGCATCAGACACAGACGTAAATATGTCATTTCACAACTTTATCACTCTTCTTTCTGGTGAAATCCAGAACGTGAGTTCGCCGTGTTTCAACACTTGTGGCAGTACCCCGTCCGCCCCGGTGCATTTGCTTGCTTGTAGATGAGTAAGTGCTCTCTGCGTCTCATCCACGATCGGCATGTCTTGTTACAGGCATTGTAACGTAGTCCAGTCATTTTCCGAATGGTTCCCCAAGAGACGGTCGAAGTGCTGTTGCCATATTCGCACGATGTCTGCAGTTTGTGTGCAGAAGCACCCAAAACAGAGCTCTCATCGGTTACAAGGTGGGCCCATTTACTGCCTTCAATAAGTCGTTGTACTCCTTATGTTGATGGCGTTCGGCTTGACATTCTATCTGCTTCGCTGTATCTGCCCACCATGCACTGTGCGACGAAGCTCTCGAGTCAATTGCCGACCCAATTTGCGAAACTTCTCTAAGTCGGCTGAGCCATCCTCATGCGCGACAAAACTGCATTCATCTCTGACACCAATGCGCGCAAACGGTAAGCGGTCCGATCGGTTTGGTGACAACAGTGCGATGATTGGCGTATTGGTGTCAGTAGCATTCCCGCCTATCAAAGTATGGAATCATGCGTACCAGATGTACACAAGGCAGTTGTTGGACTGCAGCCCGTCCCACATTGGATGAAACCACTCGTTAAGCTTAGCATGGTCCCGAGGACTGTGCACTCCGTCTCTCCATCTGTCTCCTGAAGCTAGTATAATCGAGGTAGCGGCTTTTCGACAGGCAGACACTTTGTCAACATTTACATCAAGCGCGGGCAATATCAAACAACCAGCAACCAATATGAAAGTACGTGCACACGCAAACTTGGCACGGAATATGCATCAGAATACCAGAACTGAGCAAATCAAATAATGTAAGATCTTTGTATCCATGTTAAGATGATCTAGTATACGTGTAAGTCGGTATAGCCCAACTGCAGTGAAGAAGCATGATGTATGCAACTTCAACCTCAGCATGAGGTGCAGATATTGTGCCATCGGAATCATGGCGGAATAGGAAGACAGGATTGGGATATGAAGAAAATGACAGGTGATTTCGGTCGCCTAATGCATACGTCTAGGTAGCCATATCACTTGAACCAATTGGAAACTGTAATCGCCAGACAGTGGGCGGCATACAGTGTGATCAGGCGGTCACCGTTCTCATTGCCTTAGCCAACGCCATACTGCCCGTCTACATCAGTCCACACCTCGGTATCACGTCCGACGCGCACGTTGAAATCACTCAGTAGGAGTGACCGGTCGTTCCTCGACACAGACCGTGTCACGGATGAAAACTGAGGGTATAACTGATCCGTTGTGTCATTAGGATAACACGTGGTGAAGCCACACGTTCTAATAATGCTTCAAACCTACTTCACTCGAGGCGTAGACGAAGTGTCACCAATTGTAAGCTGATGCCAGTTCGCTCTTCCACTAGCCGGCAATTTATGCGGCCGTATAATGCAAATCCGACTCCATGTTAAAGTGGTGTTGCGGTGGCGTTTCCCACCCAGTAGAACGTGTGCCTAGCACCATCCTCATGCAGCTTGCCTTGGTTAGCGGCAATAACAATTCCTTGGCGACCGAGCTCTCGACCACCGGTGGCTTCGCAATTTCACACGTATCTGGTGGGAACACTGGGTGAACAATGAGCGTGTTTGACGCCTTGTTTATAGCACAGGGAGAGGAAGTGAACCGGTCAGCACCGTTGTATCGCACATCAAGCTTCGATCGCTGGGCCACGTGTTGTCCATTCTAGCCCACCAACTCCCGCGACGTGCGCTGTTTGCTCGCCGGGTTATGGATGGAAGAAGAGGAGGGGTGGCCAAGCGGATTTGGTCAAGAGGGATAAAGGACTTTACTTCGAAGTTGGGTTCGGTCGGAGCTTCTAGGCTCCCTGGTTGGGGTCCGAAAGGCGATGAACACCTTTGGTTGAATACACGTTAACATGGCTAGGAGCCGACCTCTGTGGCGTTTACGTTGTGAGTTTATTTGTGCCTTCCGTTTAGCCTACACCTTGAACCACGATCTTAATTCATATGCACAATATTTTTTGTGTGGCACAATAGCTGTGGGGTTTCCTACCTCTAACTAACTTGTACCTTGATGATGATGATGAGCGACCGAGTTTCTGCTGTGTGCGCCAACGGATAGTGCTACGTCATCGCGTGCTTACGCACGCCCAACTCGCAACTGACTGGATGAGCGTTTGTCGATTGATTGGTAACACTTATTACGCTTGAAAAGAGACGAGCCATCAGACAGGATAGACTTTCCCAAGATGGTCGTGCGTTCGTTCTGATTACAGTCCATGCAGTTCCGTTCCGTTCCATTATCCGACGTTGAGCTCTTTGCGCGGAGGCATACGATTACTCCGGACAATCGCTCGGTTGGTCAGTTGGGGTGGGTGATAGGATGAGTTCCGTGAAACCGGAGCTAAGAGAGCAGCATGTGTAGGAGGTGAAGAAAGAAGGCGTCAGCGGTAGCATTTTTTCGCTCTTCCACCCCACTGTACGCAGCATATAAGGTTATCCTTTTTCCACCACTTCCGATGGTCGATGAAGCATGAGGATATCAGTATTATTTCATTAATATTTGGTATATGAACTGGTGTATTGCCGAGGCGTCCACAGTTGTACAGGAGAACGACTCGGATCCTCACTAAAGCTTTCGATAAAATACCTGCTTTGGTGTGCCTCGATGAATTCGAAAATAAACTATTTATTTCTTTTAAGGCGACGCGAAATGCGCTGAGGCAGTCAATCGGTTCACGCGCATGTGTCCCGGCCACTAGCTAGAAGAGTTAAAACCAATTCCCCTTCAGTGGTCGACACGAAAAGGTATCCAGAACCCACTTTAGAAATTGAGCAGCAGCGACTCAGCGTTCTGTCAGTATCTCACCATCACAAACCTCATCGAGGCATAGAATCATGTTCCTATAGCGCCGTAACGGCGCTTCGCTGCCGCGCGACCACCACCAGCCGCGCGGGCCGAGTCTACCGCGAGGACGCCTACACCTTCGCGGATTCCAGTCGGTGACCCTATTTTTGCAAACCAGACGCACAGACCAATCGGCCACCAGCCGACGATCTCCGTTCTACATTGATATATATATATATATATATATATATATATATATATATATATATATCAGTTCAGTTGATCAACTATGACCCAAGCACCGAAGTACGGTGGATCCAGTTACCACGACTCACATCGCAAGAATAACTAAACAACAATGGCAAGACAGTGCGATTAAAAGCAATAAGAATGTACCGACCGACCTTACCGCAGTGTTATACACCCTACCTTTCACTGACAAGCTGATGTCCCGTCGTCTTCATAGATGATTGAGTCTCTGGAAAGCCAGACGGGTCTTGCTGATACGCGAAGTAACCTTCTCAGTGATGTGACCACCAGAGGTGACACAGCTACCGAGGTAAGTGAACCGATCCGTCACTTTCAGTGGTTGTTCGATGATAACTAGCACCGGAGGTGTGTCTATTCAGTACTGAAGCAGTACTTTGCACTTTGAAGGTGCAAAGCACATGCCGAAGCGTGCGGCGCGACCCGCCAGTCTATCCAGCAGTGTTTGCGTAGCCACTGCGTCGGACCCAAGAAGTGCTATGTCGTCCGTATACTCCAGGTTTGTCAGTCGGTCACCTGGTAGGACCCACTCCGGTAGAGTCTGAAAGAACGGAGTCACTCACGATCATTTTGATAACAACCTTGAAGAGGAAAGGAGATATAGGACAACTCTAAAGAACCCCACTTGTCGTTGGAACTCGGGAGACAGCTTCCCGTAGACCCTTACACTGCCTCGGGAGTCACGCTAGAGAGACTTAAGAATGGATACGAATTTAGTCGACACGCCCTTCATGGATAGGCAGTGCCACAAACTGGCGCTGTCAATAGATACGAAGACAGCTTTCAAGTCTAAGAAAACTACCATCGTCTGTTGTCTGTATGTGTGTTTGCTCCAACACTTGGCGAAGAGTAAATATGTGGTCGACACAACCATGACCAGGGCGGAAGCCAGCCTAATTTTCAGTGCTTCGGTTCTCACGGGGATCAGTAAATCGTCGGAGAATGACACCCTGGAGGAGTTTGCATGCAACGGAACCAAGGCTGATGCCTCGATGATTTTCCAACGAAGTGCGCTGACCCTTCTTGAAGATGGGCACGGCAATTGACAGTCGCCAGTCTGAAGGAACCTCTTCAGTGTCCAAATCTTGTTAATTAGAGTAGCGAGTACAGTCAACAAAGGGTCACCACCATCTTTCAGCAAAGATGGAGAAAGGTCGTCGCGTCCAGGATCTTTGTTTCGTTTCAACACGAATACTTCATTTCGAACCTCCTCCAAAGTGAGAGGTGTCACATCTTCTCATAACGTTCAGGCGATTCGGCAAGCGGCAGTGTCGCAGCAGGCCTGCTGAACTGCTCTTCAAAATGTTCCCCTTAGCGGGCTAGTCGACGACGCTGAGAATGGATCAGGTGCCCTTTTTAGCTACTGTCTCGCTAACGGATAGCTTTCTTGGACGTGTGTTCCGGGTGAGCTAGAACAGAATTCGGCTGTTCCAAATAGCACTGGCTTTGTCCATCTCACGGGCCGTTGCGATCCACCAACGTTCCCGGTCGGTTCGAAGACTCCTTGTCATGCGTCGTTTCAAAGAGTTACCGACACGCTGGTACTCAGTTCCCATTGGAACTTGTTTCCGTCTTCGATCAAGCTGATCGATGCCTGAGAGATCTATTCACAGTTACTACGTTTTTAGTTTGGTGCACAGCATGCGTCCAAGGCATTCTTCATGGCACATTTGAGACGATTCCAGTCAGCGTTCTGCTCGCCAACCTCATTCATCAATGACAATTGGTGGGCTAGTTCGTTATCTTGTTGCACTGCAGATTGGGAGTTAAGTTACAGGCAAATAGCAGGCGCTTCTTTGGAGAGGGTAAAGTGAACGCCAAGCGTGCGCACACTAGAGCATGGTCAGAATCTAGGCACGTGCTCCAAATTGACCGGCAGTCTTATACTGATGTGCACCATCTGTAGCTGATGACAATATGGTCAATTTGGGTCCAGGTCATGGAGGGATTCGGTGGGCGTCAAGTGAAGCGATGTGAGCGTTTGTGCTTTAAAGCAATGTTGCTGTGGTAAAAGTTGTGATCGGCGTACAGTTGCATGAATCAATCACCATTGTCTGTTCGGCGTGCACCGACTCCAGAGCGCCCTTCCAAGTGCTGTTCAGAATCTGAAAGAGGACCCATTTGGGCTTTGATGTCACCAGCAACAATCACGATGTCGGGATTCTTTGCCATGCGAAGAGGAGATGAGAGCTGTCGATAGAAATCGTCTTTGACGCCCTCTGAACTGCATTCAGTAGGGGCATAAATTGAGGCGATGTAAAGGTACCTTGACTTCAGACGTTGCTTATTAACTCCGGTAGTAGTTCTAAGTCGAACCGCGCATATACGCCTGTTCACTGGTATTCACTCGATTAGATTGTCTTCAGTATGTTTGCTGAGAGCAATACCAACACCTTAAGTACCTCGAGCCATTGACTCGGCATCACCAGAGACGCGAAGAGTGTAGCCATGGTCGTCAGGTTCAGAACCAGGGAGTCGAAAATTCGTCACAATGCTGTTATCTTGAATGCGTGTTTTGGAGACACAACACACATCCATACCAAGAGAGTGAAGAGTAAGAGTCAGTGTTGTCTGCTGGCTGATCTGACTTAGAGTGCAGCTTTTTAAGGAACTAATGTGAAATGGAACTGTTCTTTTGTTGGAAGAGCTGCGTGTATCAATGGCAGCAGCTGCTAGGTCAGTGACAGTATCTTGCTCAATAGACGGAGAGCAAAGGGCGAAGAGAGAAAAAATGAAGCAAAGTGGGTATTGCCGACGTGGTCGGGAGGGCAGTTGATACTCCCCGGTTGCCCATTCCGAGAGAGTGGTTTTGTTCGAGGTGCCCTGCCTCTAGTCTTTGACTCAACACTGATCCACAAGGCAGTGGGGTACCTGGAGGTTCGCTTGGGGAATTCCACCCGGAGCCTTTGGCTCAATGCCCGGACCCACAAGTCAGTGTGGAACAAGTCCAACTCGGGAGTGCGATTTCAGAGACTCAATGGGAGCTGCTTGAGGCCTGTCTCACACAGCCTTTGAAGATTTGGAATAATACACATATGTTTTACGACCGTATTACGTTACGCACCTGCAACCACGGCCAGCCGAAGGTGGGGGTTTGCCGGTTTGCACCAATTTGACTGTAACGTGTCTGGCTGAGACGGGCGGTAGCCAACCTTTGACAGAATATACAGCGGAGTCACAGAATTGAACAAACCAAATAAAGAGGAATGGTTATATATATATATATGTATATATATATATATAAATATATATATATATATATATATATATATATATATATATATACTGCCTAACGTGTATCTGGGCCCATAGTTACTTTACCTCTGTTGTTCTCCACCCGGCGTTCATTGCTGTGCGTAGTGCATCCAGTGGACTCTTCATTTCCTTAGCTACAACGTAAGTTGTCTGGCTGGTAATTTTACTATTCGTCACGTTCCATAGTTTAATCTATGGTCTTTTTGCGCACTGTTGCTGCCGCTCGCCACGCTTACTTTCTTCGGTCCTTAGCCTCACTGCTGCCTTTTCCCTTGCATCTTTGTATTTTTTCTCACGACACGTGTGGATGGAAGAATGACCAGAATAACTGTAGGCACAGATGGCAGCTTACTGCTCTGTCGATTATCAGCGAAAATTACAACGCAGTTGATGCTAATCAGGTTTTCTGTCTGACTGCGCAGACGGGCCCTATGGAATCCAGTCTTTTTGTGTCTCCATGGGGTCTTAGCGTGCATGCATCGGAACCGATTATCCATCATCCTTTACTCGTACAAGCACAGCTTTAGAACCCACTAGTGCAGAATATGTTCATTTTATCCTGCATCACGTTTAACTACCGGATGTAAATGGGTTCAGCAGTTTCATCAGAGCGAACTATCGCTCACGACCCATCGCTTACTGTCCTTCTTCGTCGAGAAAGTTGATTACTGCACAACAAACCACCCAACATTTTGTCATGTTTTGCCATCATCTTGTTTTCTTTGTTGTCTGCTTGGAATGAACGAAAGCACTTATTTGGTGCGCTCTGCCATATCATAAATCATCTCACTAAATTCTGTGATGGATGCTTGTTAAGATTTTTCCACTAGACATTCACTTTTCAGACTTTTCTCGTGTTACGTAAACTCTTCTTACTGTTGTTTGGCGCCTTCTACTACCGCGTAGCACCAATTGGTGGACTCTGATCAATTAAGTAGTTGTGGCTCCTCATAGCTTCATTCTCTCCTCGACGCGATGGCTACACTTTACTTGAAATGCGCTTTGATCAGTAGCAGCTTACTCCGGTTTCACCGTTTTTCGAGTACTTCCAACGCTAGACTCGATGCGAACTCTTTTACTAGGTTACTTTGATTGCATCGACAACGGAGGCATAACGAGGACACATTTGAATCTCGATTTTTGTGTCTAATGTCGTCAATACTAGGGATCCAGGTCTTATTCTTACTTGGCTATACTCAAGTAATGTAACATGTATGGATTTTTTCCCACCATTCTCCACTCTTTTTGTGGTGTTCATGTGAGTTGTCTGATGCGTCAAACGTTTGTTCTGTAGTGTGTTTACTCACTCATGTCGCAATTTTCTGTTCTCCATCCTTTCCGTTAAGTTCAGTTGACCTTCACCTTCATCACTGTATTCTTGACCCACCATTCGTAGGGTGGCTTTATAACGGTGTGGCGAAGCTACCTCATAGATATCGTTTCAAAGCTCATGACAAGCCGAACCACTCGAACTTATTCCATGCGAACAAAGTATCCGTCTCACCTGATGCTATTTTTTGTCTCACTTTACTTAAGCTCGCTTGGGTCGGATCATTGTCAAGCACTTTTGCTGTTGTTATGGCCCCTTTGTCTTCTCAATGTACTTAAATTCCTCATCACCATTAGTTTTTATGTGCCATTTTACTTGGTGTCAACGCATGTCGTTCGATTCAAAACGGGTCAAACGTTATGGTACCTGCCATTTCTGCAATGCACAGCTCGACAGGCTTTTGAGGGAGCTATGGAACACGATCGCACCGTACATTATCGTTTTTCCGCTTGCTTCCACGTTCCAGCCTATACCAATCCTTACGTATGCACATTCGACCAAAATGCTTGTGGGTGGTCTAATGACCCAAACAACTGGAAGTACTCTTGGACTGTGGAAGCGTGGTCATCAGCGGATCCAGGAACACTTAGGACAACCAATAGAGCCATGTGCTTGTCTGCTTCTGCTTTTGAACTGAACGTATGGCCGAAACAAGCTTCTAATTTTGCTTCATCAGATCGAGTCAGTCTGATTCCTGCGGGTAGGTCTACTGCGAAGAAGAAGCAGTCCATCCAGGCACGATTGTGGAGCCCGTACCTTACAGCCGAGGACGGATTTCGGTGTCTGCAGTTGCAATACTGTATTAAATCTGGTAACCACTTTGATCCCATCGGCTCAGAGGGCGGAATGTCGCTGGCACTACTATTTAGACGCGAAGGGTGAATTTGTTGGTACTTTTGTATTCTTAGTCATCTCTGCTTGTTTTCATTCTTATTCCATCAGCCCTGTTGTCGTCGATATGAATTCTTACAGGTCACACCAAATTGTCTCCAGCTTACACCCATGGACTTGCACAGTGGCTGTCACCTTCGTTCCCAATTTGTAGTTACTTTTTCTCTGGATTTTACTCATCACTTCCCCCATCGCGTACCATCTCAGCTCCGCCTATTCCATTTTCAAGTAACTGGATGCAACTTCGCTCCTTCCATAATCGACCAGTACACAATTTTACCCGTTCCCGATTTACTTAACTAACCATTCTACCAATGAACTTAAGGATCTTCCGACCGTTTGATAACATTCCTCTTAATTTACCCCACTGGTTTCCTCAGATCAATACACACCGTAGGGCTATTCTTCTCTGTCCTCACTGCATACATCTGAAGAACCAGACAGACTGTTCACATTCGTTACCCGATACGGTTTTCTTACTTGGATGGCTTAGATAAAGTTACGATCAGCTGGTTTTCATTTCGATATCTGCACATCTTTTCTTCATTCTCCTTAAGCTTGGGTTAGATAGATCCTTACTTTTGCTTTCACTTATTCGACTCATTAGCTCACAAACCAAGCATTCAATGGTTTGATCATCGGATACTCCTTCCCAAGCTCCATTTTAACTGGATCGGTGACCCTTGAACGCCAGTTAGTAAGTAGCCGGAGTTCGCAGCTCCTTATCTGACCTCATAGAAGTCGAGGATAGTGTGCCGAAGGTCTCAGTACTAGGGTCATGATTTCTTTTGGTATTTATTAATGACCTGGCACTGGCGATCGCTTCAAATTTCCTACTGTTTGTCGACGACATCAACATTTAGTGCAGGATTCAGGGGAATGCCGACCAGCATCTGCTTCAGAACGACCTAGACACTAGTCAACCCACAATTTACTGCAATTCCACGTGAGTAAATGCACAGTACTTTCCGTACGACACCAGATCAACTACTCATACAAGTCTGGACGCAACTGCTACAGCGATCTTCCGTCGGACGTGATTTGGATGTGCTGGTTCAAGATTAGCTGCGTTGTTTTATGAAATCCGAAAAGGCTTCGAAAGCTTGTACCCAACACGTCGGTTTGTTGAGACAGACGTTCGGACATTTTTATTGTCCAACATACCCCGTGCATATGTTCGCCCCCATTTCGCATACGCAATTCAAGCCTGACATTCAGGGCTGAAACACTGCACTAGATCAGCTTCCTCGTCTGGCTTTCAAGTACGTCATTGGAATGTGCAATCTACCATATGAGCAGAGCTTTAAACGTTTGGGCGTATTCACTGAATTGTATCGCCAATTACGAAGCAATCTGGTAATGGCCTACTTGATTCTGCACGATCCACATCATGTGTTCCGCTCCTTACTACACTCAGCAGTAATACAAACTTTAGGTCACTGTGCAACTAGAACAGTGCAGCTGTTTGGAGTGCCACAGTAATTTCTTTTCTAATCTTGTATGTCACCCGTGGAAAGCTTTCCCTGAATCGGTCATTTCTGCAAAAACACTACCTATTATTAAAAAACGGTTAGGAGACGCACTCATCCACTTATGTTTTGTTACTTAACACTATCCATGCTACTCCTGGGATTTACCGTGGATTTATTAGCTGTCATCTGTTAGTGCAGTGAAACCACGCGGAGTGCAGGGCTGTGTCATAAACGATAAGTCCTATTGACGCCCAATGTACTAACTGTTTTCAATAACTTTTTTCGTTTGTTACACCGGACCACCCAACGGAACTTGTAAGGCAGTGCTTTTTAACCCATATAAAGTCGTTGCTCATTTTTCCTTATACCAATTCGGAAAACACTGGATGGCTGTTTTCTCTATTGGTGCTCATCAGTGGTACGCATCCTCCGGTTCCACTAGGGACCGAGCCCACGGTCACTAGCAGCATGCGCACTAGCTATTAGGGACGGTGGCAGACAGATATGGCTTGCAACCTAACTGGGATATAGCTCATCGCTGACGCGCCCCAGCAGAGCGAAACTTCCTTCTGGTAACACACAATCTCCATTGAGATCTCGGCTCCCTTTGTAGTAGACCTCGGTCATTCCGATCACAAGGACCGTAACCGAAATAGTGGTGTTTCGGTGTTGCACCTCCCAACACTAACACTCCATGACCAGTTTCGTCATCAGATGGAGATAGCCTGTGCTGAGTTGGAAATCGCGGCATAGTGGTTCACGGCTGGCGCATTGATCATTATACCACTAATATCCATGAACAACGATTGGCAGAGCGGCACGGAATTCAAAATTGGATTTGGAGTACTCGCCGTGGGGTTGGATTGCCACATGCAATCTCTATTGAGACCTCGGTTCACTTTGAAGTAGACCTCGGTCATTCCGATCCCTAAGGCCCTATCCAAAAAGGTGTTTCGGTGTTGCTCCTCCCAACACTGACACCCAATGACCGGCGGGTACTCCAAATCCAACTTTGAATTCCTTACCGCTCTGTCAAGCGTTGTTCACTGCTTTTAGTGGTATAGTGATCAAGACGTCAGCCGTGAACTATTATCCCCCGAGTTTCAACCCAGCTGAGGCTATCACCATCTGATGGGCCTAAAACACGACGAAACCGGTCATGGAGTGTCAAGGTTGGGAGGAGCAACACCGAAACACCCCCGGCCGTCTGGTGCTTTTCCTGGATTGGGAATTATAGTGTCTGACCTGTTAGGTGCCGGTGCCAATGCATAAAATTTTATCAGAAATCCTCCTACTCATTAGTGGACATCCTTCATTGTTTTTGTCAGGTCTTAGTACCATTCTTTATTTGTTCCCAACAGGTTCTGCTCTTGGGGATACTCGATTGGATTGTAATTTCACCAGCCCATGTCCATGGACAGCTGATCCAAATGATTGGGGTGCGGTCAGGTGGGAGCAGCAGTCAGTCTTTGATCCGATTGGATTGCGACGTCAGCCAGCACTTTGCTTTAGTTCTGCTAGGCAGTTGGGCACAAGTGAAGCACTCATTGCGCGTCTTTGGAGCCCTGCGATCCGCTTTTCTGGCTCTGATGAAGCGAAGTGGCCTCAGTGTTTGTCTGTCTCCTATCAAATAATTGCTAGCACAGGTCCATCTGTTGAAGAGACCATGATACCTGACCAATACCCTGTCCTTGCGCTATTGAGAAGACAACGCGGGTATGAATCATCCTCTTGCCCACCTTTTCCTTTGTCCCAACTATTCTTTCTGAATACTAGTTAGGTGCGACTGATCCTGTTTCTCTCCGGGTTGTCTAATTTCGCTCGCTTCGTTGTGTTCCAAGAGGTGATTGCGGCGATCAGTCTATTACTTGCGCGACTATTTGTGATGCAGTCAATTTCCTGCTCGTCTCTTCCCTTCACACTTGTACACCTTTTGTCGTATTGCGCCCCCCAAAGCGTTGTGATCACCTGCTTCTATCCTTCCGTTCATGCAACCTTCGCACTTAAGCTCATTCCATCAATTTTGAGATGATAAAACTCGTTTCGAGGATTGAGATAAACGAATATGCTTGAAGGGCAATGCTTTGGCACCGGTACGACAATTTGTACATTCAGCATGGAGCGCTCAATGTTTCGTTCAATTTTCTTTTCCCCCTAACTAATATTATCTTGGTGGCATCCAGATCAGACTACTCGTTTTTCCACCGTCAATGCGGAGTGGTTGGGGAAGTCGAGGTCACATCCGCACACCACTCAGAATTTAGTCAATCGTTTCTGTGTGTATTCGACTCACTCCACCCCAACGTTCTTTTCTTTCTCTGTTGCTTATCTTCGCTTGTAGCTTGGTTTCAAGGCATTTAACAACCAATTTCATCGTTGATGATCAACTTGGGTGTCCGTTTGTCCTCTCGAGTACCAGTTGTAAAGATCTTTGTTCATCGTGGCTGATTTGATCAAGACGCTACTCCGCTGCATCTGTTTGCACTCGCGAGACCTTATGATATCATGCAGCGTACAGTAATCTTCAGTCGCCTCACAGTAACCGCCTCTTGCAATCTTGTAGTTCTCTTCTTTGCTTCACCTTCGTGGAAAGACAGCGAACGCAGTACATACAGTGGGCGGCAGTTCAAGTTTGCTGGATTTGCTACTGAAGTTATCGACCGGGTACAACGACCTCTGTTGCCTTCCATAGCCCATGACATCCGACGTGGCGTTGACCGCATCACACTGGTAATTAACTTATCTTTACTTTCGAGTGTAACTCATTTCGGGTTAACACTTGATTTCGCACTTGCCTCTTCCCATCCCCATCTGAAGGCTATTTGTGCAGTTTGCACACATTGCCCAGTTTTTGCGCAACTGATCAGTAGGGTCGCTGTTCACACTACGTTGTGAATAAATCTGTACTCGGATTTCTGTCGTAATTTCAGCTGACTCATCTCTCGGACTGCGGTCACACCGCGTGCAACCTTTGCGCTCGAAATTGGACTGCAACTTTACAAACGACCTCTGCTTTTGGACAAACGATCAGAATAATTGGCCTGCTAATTGGTACGTATCAAAGTATCACACATCACCCACGTCCGCTGGCCACTCACGCGTCAATGCCGTATGCTTGGATTTGCTGCCCAACCCATCTACTGTTGGAAATTCGGGATTCTCCGGGCGACTCTTCGGACCGCTTACGCGAAGAGCTGATGGAACTCGGTGCCTCCAGATTCGTTACATTATTTCTTACGCTCCACTCTCGAAAAGTACTTCTTCGGAGAAATCGGTGCTGCATCAGTTTCCAAAATTAGCTGTATTACGCCGCCAGATGGGGTGAGCCTCTTAAGCGTAGCCAATCGAAGCTCATGACGTTGTAGCTATCATTGTACTCCTTCTGATCTGTTCAGGTACTTTAGCACAACACGTGAAAGTGCACCTTTCTTTTCGGAGCTCATCTCTTGAGTATCTTTTTTCAACATTAAACCCGTTGGCCGCTCGTTTTTCTATGAACTCAGTACCTTTTGTTC